ACACAGCTATAGATAGACATGATGCTTCTGAAACACTTGAGTGGATTAAGAGGTTTCAGCTTCAATTCACTTTTTCTCAGAATATGTGGAAGTCTATAAGAACAAAGATTTGGGAGAGTGAATGACCATATTGCCCTTGAAATGTGTAGGAATTGACAAAGACTCCCCCATGTGTATCTGATCTTGAATTGGACAGTGACTGATATTTTAGGTATTCATGCAATTTTTTGTGTAAAATAATTGGCTTGTCTCAAAGGTAATTAGGTAATGGAAAGGGAATCACTAGGGAAATGTACTTTGAAAGCCATGGAGAAAAGGATGGACCATGGAATGTGTCCATATTTTATCCACATAGTTGAAAAATCTTAAGACATGGATCTTGCTAATTATTATGATTTTTAGCTTAAGCTTCAGGTTAGAATTTCATAAAAGTTGTACGAGATGCTTTCTTAGAAGACAGGTCCTAGCATGCTGTACAACGCCAAAACGTTGTCACTGTTTTATAATGCATTCTCTCTCTCTCTCTTAGTATATAGCACTTATATTATCTACCGAGAATGATAATACTATTATAGATGATAAAATTTCTTCTTTAAATATTATTAGCATTGTATACTCAAAAAACTTTGTATAGTTAATTGATATACGTGTTCAGTGGTTTTTATAATACATATTAAGAATTTTGAATACTATCACAAATCTAAATTTGGAATAATATTCCTAGAAAAATAAATCAAATTAATTTGAAATTATATAAGAGTTTAATTTTTTACGTGGCATTTAGTACTGTAAATATTTTTATACTATCAATGAAATTACTTTGAATAAAGGTAATTATTATAAAAGTAAACATGATAATATATTTTCTTTTAATGACTTAATGTAGTAAGGTAGTTACTATGGATAAGAAATACACGTATTGTTCTTGAATGGCAAGCACAAGTACTTGTACTTATCAAAGATGGAACATATGAAGTAAAACAACCAAAATTTTATCCATACAATTAAGTTACCTTAACAGTTAACATTGGACAGGAATTTACACTGGACCCATCTTTTACCTTTTTGTGTTCCTCTAATTGATGTAATTAATCCTCATTCATAGTATCTTTAAGGATGACACCAACTTTTAACAAGAATTACTGATTAACAACAGTCTTCAAAGTACTGCAACTAAATTGCAACTATCATCATTGAGCAGTAACTTGTGCAGGTTAAAAGTGAATTAATAAGAAGAAAGATTAAAAAGTGAAAGTTTTTGTACTTAACAGCTCAAAGCCATGAAATCATGTACCATATTTCACGTTTGACAGAACGAGAGTCGTGATGGCCAATGTATGGCAATGATAAAACTATGGAATGAAAAGAAAAGAATTAAAAAAGGGTCATTGCTTTGTTGGGAGGTGTAACATTGTTTGCTTCACAAGTATCCCAATGAGTGGTTAGAGCCTCCCTAATGAAACTCATGCAAAGAATGTAAGTTACACACAACTATAAAATAAAACAATTTCAAAACTAACAAACATTTTTTTGTCAAACGTTTTGCCATTACATATTAAAATCATTTAACTTAGAATAATAATTAAAGATCTTACATTAACATGTTTTACAGACAATCTATTCAATAAAAGGATTTTCGTTATATGAAAATCCTTTGAATTATTATCACAAATAAAATTAATCTCTTAATCAATTAACAAGAAACTGTGTAATAAGATAAATAATATATATATTAAAATCACTATAGGTAGCACTCTCAACACACGTGAATTTGAAGTTAAAAAGCTATAGTGAGAAATAAAGACAGAGTATTATGTGAAGTGGAAGCAAAATTGTTTGTGTGTCCATACAATAAAAGACTATGATTACCTTGTGAGTGAAGTAAAATGTATCGAAAAAGACAAGAATTGAGTCAAAGACAAGAAGAGCAACACTCTCTCTTTCTAAGGGTTAAGGAGGTCCCCCTCCAATCCGTTTTCCACTCTACCTATCAACCAACAAACACAAATCTCATATTTTCTCTCTCTCTCTCTACACCTCATATTCATATTTTAAGCAAACCCCGCAAGCATCAGCATCATCATTATTATTATTATTCACCATTCCCACTCCATGAAGCCTTCTCTCTGTCCCTCAAAACCATCATTCACCTATATAGCTTTCTCATAGATACATAGATCTTTATCACACTTCATCATAAACTCAAGGCCTCAAGGGCTAGCTCACACCCCATTATATCACCACTTGCATTGGGTTTGTGGCAAATGAGGAAACCTGATATGATGGGAAAAGATAACAAAATGAACAACAACAACAACATTAAGAGTAAGCTAAGGAAAGGGTTGTGGTCACCTGAGGAAGATGAGAAGCTGATAAGGTACATGATCACTAAGGGACAAGGGTGTTGGAGTGACATTGCTAGGAATGCTGGCCTTCAAAGGTGTGGCAAAAGTTGTCGTCTTCGTTGGATTAACTACTTGAGACCTGACCTCAAACGTGGTGCATTCTCACCCCAAGAGGAAGAACTCATCATTCACTTGCACTCCATTCTTGGCAACAGGTACCCCTCTCCTTAACATTTTTTTCCTTCCTTGCATTGCCATACTTTCTTACCACAAAACTTCTTTCCCTTCCTTGCATTGATGTACTTTCTTCTCTCAATGGTCATTTCTTTCCTTACACTTCCCATAGTTTCATACAACATCTATTTCACCCCATTAATCCAATAGGTTGCGTGAATTGTTACAAGTTTCTTCGAATTGAGTTTGATTCTAATTGATTAAAAAAAATAATACAACATCCAGTTCAACTTATTGTTGATTACTATACCTATATAACTTTTTTCTTTTGCTATATATATAAGATCTCCTAATGACCGACAAGAGTATTTTCGAGTTTCAAATTCACAAATTGTAACTCACTCTTAGTATAGTTCTTATAATGTATCATAAATTTTAAGAACTTTAATAAGTATTTTTTTCTCCGAAACGATACAATCTTTATAAAGCTAAAGTAAAATATACAATTATTTTCATAATTCTTAAAAAATTATTAAGAAAAGTGGTTTATATATATAAACAATATGTTCTATATAAAAACTGACATGTCAATTGTTCAAATGGTAAAACTTAATTAATATTTTTAAGTTTGAGAATCTCGTAATCCAACTTTCAATAGAGATGTTCTAAGAAGATTAAACTTTCCTATCAAAAGTAAAAATGGATAAACAAATATGTCTTTGATATAAAGACAAAACAAAATAGATGCAATGTCATTGAAGATTAATTGTGAAGGGTATAGGGAAATTCCCAATCATGATCTTATTTTTAGAAATTGAACTGAATATATATAGGATTTTTATCAACTTGGAGGCATAACTACATAAAATGACGTAGCCTAAAAGCATGTCAGGGGTTTTGCCTTAACTATCATAGTCTAGCTTTCTGCTTAAGGATGGTCTGACCCATAATACATTTGACTATTCACTAGTAATCTTTGAAAATATTTTCTAACCCATGAATTTTTTTTTACACCATCTAAACCATCAATTATTAAATATTAGAGCCTTGTACTCCATCATGTTCATCCAATATAATATATAAATTTTAACAACACATTTTTCATCACAATTTTTATTATTATTATTAACTAAAGTTTATAAAATTTAATTATTAGCAGCACCCACAAAATGACGTAGATATTACTCTTTATTTATTTAAGTCTTACGCACTCAGAAGCACGAGTACTTCACTTTGTGACTTGTACGTGTAATGGGTTTTAGTTTATATCAAAATATCTCATTAGACCTCAGAATATCTCGTGCTAAAGCTTCATTTATTCTATAAGTTTGCTATGGAAAAAGGGTACATATCAAAATAAATATTTAAAAATAAAATAGTACCTGACTTGACTATAACTTCAATCTTAGATTAAGAGGACCTTTGACATACAACAAATTTTTTCATGAATTATAAATTTTGAGAGTTATGATTTCTAGAATCATAAAAATTTCTTTGTTTGGTCATAAATGTTTTTAAAAATGTTTTTAAATATTATATGAGATCAAAGATTTTTATTACATTAAATAAATAAATAAAAATAATATGATATTTTTATTACACTAAAATTTTACTTTTATCTCAAAAAAAGGTTAAATTTTTACCTCTCCATAACAATATCTTGAAAAACAATATTTCTTAGAAATATTATTTTTTAAATAATAAATAAAATGCAGAGAACAAACATTTCTAGTGTTAGATTCCCAGGAAAGTTAAAGTTTTCCTTGTACCAAACGTTCTCATGTTATTAAATTTACCTAATTTACTAGTTAAATTATTCTTTTATTTTAAAAGTGTTTAAAATCAGGTATATTTAATGTAAAAATATTAGGGGTTTTTTCCTTTTTCTCATTTGTTTCCTGCTTTCATTCATATTTGTGAGATGCGAGATATGGTCAATTTATTAATTTATTTTAAGATAAACTAGTGGGGCATGTCTCTATCATTTAAAAAATTTGTAAAGAAGTGATTATTGATTAGGTAGAGATTAATTCAAAGTAAAAAATATATAAATTAAATAAAAAATAATGAAGGAGAGATATTAAAATAGATTAGTTTGAAAGTTGTTATAAACACAAAAGTGTCCAAAAAATTATGTATACCAAATCTGATGTTATATATATTATGTTTCGAAATTGTCTACAAAATTGTCCAAATAATATATAAACCAAAAAGAATTGTCTACAAAACATTAATTTATTTTATGTTCCGAAAAATTATTTATTGATTTATTTACTTTTATTCTCTTCTCTTAACCATTTCCAAGTTGTAAATCTCAGATGGTCTCAGATCGCTGCACGTCTCCCTGGTCGCACAGACAATGAGATAAAGAATTTCTGGAACTCCACTCTCAAGAAAAGGTTGAAAATCAACAACTCAACTTCATCACCAAACAACAGTGACTCATCAGAGCCTAGAGATCATGTCATGGCTGGGATCATGCCCATGAACAACGAGCATGACCTCATGACCATGTGCATGGACTCCTCCTCCTCAACATCATCATCATCCATGCATGCCAACAACATGGTTTTACCCGACCAATTTGACCCCTTTCCCTTGTTGTCCAACCGTTATGACATGACCGGTGCAGCCGGTTACCTTGACAACATGGCTTCTGCATGCTTAACCCAAGTTGGTATGACACATGATCATGATGGGGTTCATGGTGGTTATTATGGGACAATGTTGGAGCCTAATAAAACGGGGTTAGAAAACGACTTTTCCCTTCCTCCACTAGAAAGTACAAGCATTGAGGACAATAGTAATAGCACCCCAATTGATGTGAAAAGCCATAACAACCACCAGTTCAAGAATATTAGTTGCTTCAATAACACTATTCAAAGCCCCAACAACGTAGTTGTAGAGGACTTGTTTGGGTTTGCAAATCATGGCCAAGGGGAAAACTTTAGAATGGGAGAATGGGACTTTGAGGGCTTGATGCAAGACATTTCCTATTTTCCTTCTCTTGATTTCCAAGTTTAAGTGAGTGTTTGAATACAAAAATAAAAAATAAAAAAAACGTGATAGTTAACCCTTCTACGTTAACATGATATTGATCATATCATGTTGATGTTCTTCCAAACACACCTTAAATATCGGTCATCTCGTCTTTTATTTCCAATTCTAATTCTTTCTATCTCTCTCTTCCTCCTTCCATTTTTTCAATTCTTTCAGAAAGAATTGTGCAAAGAGTGTGTGTTAAGGATGCTGGTTAAAAAATCAACAATAGTTTTTTATTAATGAAAAAAGAATATGATATAAATGCATTAGAAATTGTGTAAAAGTGATATGCTGATAACATTTTAATCTTTTCACAAATTTTTCTACTTATAATTTTTTAACCAGTACCTTACAAATACTTGTTTGCAGTCTAGCTACTTCCACAATAATACTTGTTATTATCTTCATCTTCTTGTTACTCATTGTTTCTTCTTTTTCATGTTTTGCAAAAATTGTAACCCAATTGTCAATTGTGCTAGATTTAGGGTGGGCCTAGGATATTTCTTGAGTTGTTTGTGCCCTGGGCTGTTTCTTGTGAAGTATATTTCATGTCATTTTCAGGGAATAGGTTGGTGCAATTATCGTCAAAGAGAAATGTGAATAGTCATCATTTAGAATGCGAAGAGCAAAATAAAGCTTAGTTTAAACTGTATCTGTATGTAGCATATATAATGTGTATAACTCAAGGAATAATGTGGAGTTGCAAGTTGTTATTTAGTGCTAGATAATATATAGATCTAGCAAGAAGATGTAAACACACCACTAAGTATCAACTTTGAAATTCATTCACCTCTTTCCCCTCTCTCTCATCCTGCATGATTATATACTTCATTTGTTCCAAAATAATTGCAGTTTAAAGATTCTACACATAGATTAATTAAAATCAATAATAAATATATCATCTTTTAAAATAATTTTATTAAAATAATTTCAATATTTTAATAAATAAATTACTTTTAATTGTAATGATTAAAATTTTTTTGAGAGGATAAATTAGAAAAATAATAATTACATTGAAAATAAAAATATGTTATTTTGAAAAATATTCAAATGTTAAAATTACGGTCATTTTATAATAGAAAAGTATTATATTTACGTTGCTAGAAGAAGGGTATTGTAAATTAAGGAAAATCGATGTATTGATCTTATATTAAATTTAAAATATGACTTTATGGCGTTGATGCCTAAATTATTTACTCATCAATCTATATTTTTACATGTATATGTTACCTTAAGGTGTTAATTAATTATCTTTTCCATATTTTTCAAATTTTGAGTCTTTTATTATGCACTAAATACACGTCATTCATATTGTGTACTTATATTATTAATTTGTGACATTCTGAACTCTTTATTTATTATATTCTCACTACCCTAAGTAATTAATACTCTGAAATATTCTATTAAATTATTCTTGACATTCTTTGCTTTAAATGTATAAAGAAAATCAAAACTAACAAAATGCTTAGAAACATATGCACACAATGCTTATTGAGATATCTCTTGTTTGTTGGATTCATTGTATTTGGTGCTGCTGCGCGTGCTGTTATTTTTGTGACAAGAAAGACTATGATTTCACAATTTGGTACAAGGATCATAACATGAACAATATATTAGATCATGTTAGACATTACGATCAAATCATGTCACATCTAAATTAATTGATTGTGTATAACTTTAGGCTTTCGCAATTTTTATTTGTATATCCATAATAATACTATGAATGCTTTATAAGAAAATAGATAGTTTTGGTTTATAATCACTTGGCAATGAACGCATTTAGGAAGGATAAGCATACTAAATTATGATTAATTCCTAAATAAAATTATCTCGAAGAAAGGTACCTGTTCGAAAGTAAAAAAATGGAAAAGTTTTGAATTGGAATGAATGAATAAAAATAATTTATTAATCATTTGCAATATGTTTTAAACGTATTTAAAAAACATAACTCTTTTATGATGCATATAAAATTCACCCAACCTATTTATTTACCATTTTAAATCATATTATATTATATCTTATAAAAAAAAAAAATTGCTCTATTCTAGCTATAAAATATCTATCTCAATTTTCCTCTGAATTTCCCTTCTCTCAATAATATAGTTAGCATTCTTAGCATACTTGGAAAGCAATCTTTTTCAAAAAATTTATAAAACACGAGTTTAATTTTAACACAATGTTATAATAAAGACTTTAACTAAGTCGATGAATTAAAAGTCAAGATAGATATAATTTGAAGTAATTACCATACAATTGAGAGGATTTGTGGAAATTCTTTAGTAAGAGTTTTGAACCTTGTAGTGGGACTCAACCAAATCTTTCCCTTATACAACAATAAACCAAGTATAAGTTAATACCCCTAGCAAGGAATCGATCATGCATGTAATTCCAAGAAGGTAGGAGTAGTCAACAACTCTTGTTTTAACTAATCTAAGAAAACAAAATGAGGTAATATAAGTTTACGAGTATTGGTTTTGGCTCATGATATACACTTCCTTTTTTTGTAAGTATACCTCCTTTATATATATTTTTTTTTAAATTATAAAATATTGTAGTTTTTTTTTTAAATCTTCTATTTTTATACCTTTAATTTTCAATTTTTTACTTTCTTCTTCTTTTTCACACACTTTTTTCTCTTTTAGTTTTCACATGCTACCAAAATAGGTAAGGTGAAGGAAAGGTCAAGAAAGAGGTACATGTAAAAATTGGAAAAAAAAAAAAAAAAAAAAAGAAGGAAGATGTGTGCAAAAAAATTACTAAATTAAATTTGTAAATGTAAAATTAAAAAATAAAAAAATTAAGAATGTTTTAAAATTTTAATTTTTTTTTAAAAGGAGGTGTACTTATATAAAAAAAAAAAAAAAAAAAAAAAAAAAAAAAAAAAAAAGAGGTATATATCATGAACCATTGATTTTTCCTCCGGCTTATACATATTGGGTTTCATAGTTATAACAGCCCAATAGCTTAGAGAGGTGATATTGCTTCTCCACTGGTAATTTTAAGTATAATAAAATGGCCCATAAGATGGCCTTTAACGTTTCACAACACTGTTCTGGGCATGTAATTTGGGCCATTCAAAAGAAGATAAAATTAGAAAGAAAGAAAAAAGTGATACATTTTTTTTAATGATTGTAATAAGGATAGAACTTAAATCTTCATGCATCTATCTCACTAAAAGTTACTAGTTCAAGTGATAACTTTTATGAAAAATAACTTTTATGTAATGTTATCTATTTCTCATTGACTTTGTTATGTATATATTTCTCACATTTTAAACTAATTATGGTAAAAATTTATTTAAACAAATTTTATAAAATTTAATATTTAATTTTTATAAATAATAACTAAAATGATTAAATTACTAATTGAAGTTGACACAAATTATGTTAAAAAAATATAAAACTTTGGATTGTTTAAGAATTGTTTATAGGACTCTTAGAATAGTGGATTTAAGTCTAACTTAACCTTACAAAACCGGTTTGTAAGGTGAGGGTTGCTCTCCACTTATATACTAATCAATTGCTTAATCTTTATCGATGTGGGACTTTAATTTTTTCCAATACACCCCCTCACGTCCAGCACTATTGGGCTTGGTACGTGGATAAATGATAGGTGACCTTTTTTTTTTTAATGATCTAGCATTGGCAGAACTTGAATACACCCCCTCATGCCCATGATGCATATATCAATGGTGGGTAGCCCATTTTTAAGAATCTAGGATAGCTTTGATATCATCTTAGAATATTGGATTTAAGCCTAACTCAACCCTACAAAACTAACTTGTAAGGTGAGGGTTGCTCTTCACTTATATACTAATCAATTGTCTAATCTCTAGTCGATGTGAGACTTTGATTTTTCCCAATACAACTAAACTAGATTCTTGCCTCATTGCTACACTCAATAAGATTATAGCCAACCCAAATAAACTCTAGCTATCTAATATGACCGAAGAGAAGTATGTTGATTTTTTTTTGTCCATATAAATTACAAAAATACACTATAAAAAATATTACAGTAACATATAAAAAATGTCACTATATATATGATATATGTAAATAATAATTTATTTGATATATATTTACACATAATTTTATTATTGATTTTGAATAAAATAGAATGACATACATTATAGATAACTATAGTCAATACTTATATTTTCTAACAATATAATAACATATATTATATTTATAATATAGGTAAAAATAATTTTTAATATTAAATAATATATTATTATAGGATGTATGTTACTACATGATAAATTTTTTTTATAGTAATAGCAACAAGATATAAACTTAAAGTTTTGTACATACTAAGCCGATCTTAGTAATTCTCAAAAATGTCTTGATTACAAATAAAACATGATCTTCTCCAATTTCAACTTGATAGAAAATTCTTGTTTGTTTGAATAATTTTTTCAAAAATATTTATAAGATAAAAAAGTAATTGAAAAAAAAAAAAGATAAGCTTCTCGATAAACTAAATTTAGTTTATATATAAAATAATTTATAAAAGCTCTTTGATATTAATTTTTTAAAAAATTTATATTTAATTTATACATAAATTAATTTTAACTTATAAAAATATTTATGCCAATTTGTTCCTCTTTTATTTTCGAATAAGTATTTTTTTTAAGAAAAGTTAATCCTTACAAACTTTATTTTATACTCTATTGCAATTGATTCAAATCATTGCGACAGAAATGGAACGTATATGAATGAAATGAAAATTCACATTAGTTTTATGGGAAAATCATAAGAGATCTAAATCAAGTTTATTAAAGTTAGGTAAATGGTAACCAATGTTTTTTTTTTTTTGACGTACACTTGTTAACAAATTGTCCGCGAAATATGTATAATAAAGTTAATTAGTCTTTATTTTACTACTTTGTTTAAGAGTTAACTATAACATTAGAGTATTTATGACCAAGTTACATTATCTATTTTTCAAAATAAAAAATGATAATAAAATAGAGCGATTTATGTACTCTCTGTCACCTTGCTTAAGTTTAAAGAATGTAAAGAATTTAAATACAATAAATTAATTTAATTAACAACCTAGAACATCTTAAGTTTGTACTACGAGATCAGATAAGTCGAAAACATATGACTTTTGGAGTACATAAACGAGACAAAAGAGGTATGTGTGAACGTGCCAACGATGACTACATTATTTTTTGTCGGTGATTATTCATCGATACGTTTTATTTTATTTTATTTTTGTTTTAATCATGGGCTAATTAAATCCCCACTACTTTGTTTTCTGACTTTTGAACTCTTTGCTTCTGATGTGTAAAAACATATTGACCACAAACTATGAGTAAACCAACTCATCCCATTCTGCTTTGCTGGGAGCATCAAATGAACCACACCGACCAACCAACAAATAACATTTGTGCCAAATTTTGCAGATGTTATATATGGAATTATCTCATTCAGGTGTTGTTCTATGTATGATTTTGCAACTTTGGAGTACCATAACGGGAATGTCCAAAGATACCTTTTTTTTTTAAGCATGAAACATTATTTTATGCATGAAACAATACATAAATAAATAGAAAAAGAAAACACCAATAGGATGAACTGAAACATTATATTTTTTGTGTGTATGTGTAGTGTTGTAAAAAATATATCCAACTTAATTATCAATCTTGTCTGATGGTTGATCAAGTCAAAATTGTTATTTTTAGGCCTAAAAAAAATTAGACTAATATGATTCAATCTTACAGATTAATTGTGCTAATAAAAAATTAGGTTTCAAAAGTAGCAAACTTATTTGACTAATATTTTTTTATTTTTTTAAAATCACATGTAAAAAATATATATAAAAAATAAAATAAAATGACACAATGTGTGCCGACCCAATAGGCCAACGAATCATGTCAAGCTAGAGAAAGCAAGGCTCGTGTAATTTTGAGGCCAACTTAGGTTAGGCCAGCCTATTCCTTATACTCGACTCAATGGGCCGAATTTTACAACTCTAACTTGCATTAATATTCTGAGTTTTTTTTTTTCTTTTTTCTTTTTTCATGAAGGGTCATATTATTATAGGGAAAAGTTGCACCAGTAGTGTTCATGACATTGGCTAGTGCACAACTTGTGTTGCATCCCTATCAAAACTTGGGAAAGTAAATAACCAAAGCTTTGAGTTATTTTCCAATTATATGCAGTCAAGGTAGCTCTGAAAAAGATATAAAATAGTGATAACAATTTTAGTGGGTGGCTTGTCCAAATGTTCTACTTTTTATAGCAACTTTTCTATCATCAGCCAATGACCACTACATACAGACACCCTTTTATTTCTGTGTCATGTCCTACTCTCCCCATCCCAATTCCACCTGACATAATTACCTCCATTATTATTTTACACAAATCATATATAGGATTATGTTTGTTGCCTTCACATTCTTATTACTTTTCTTTTTGCTTCATATACATATACTTCTGCTTCTTTTTAATTCTTTTATCTCTGGATATAACTAGAAGAGGATGAGGTCATGAAAGCATTTTATATTGTTTTATGGCGAGGAATTAATTAATCATCATGATGTTTCTGACTCTCCCAAGTGTCCAACAAGTTTGAACTAATAACAGTTAACCAGCTGATTTATACATAACTCTTCAACCTCTCTAAATGTTTATTGCACAAAATGACAAGACCAATGTTTTTAAAATCAGTCACAATTTTAACTGTAACGTCCAAGGTTTTTAGGCTATATGTGACTACAATATTTGTAGCTGCTTCAATCATATTTGTCTGTAATTTCCAGTAAGTTAAGTGTCAAAATGAAACTACAACTGTAAACACCTATTTAAAACTTTGCACAAGACATAAAAACTAGACACAACAGGAAGTATATATATATAGTGACAAAGTTAATGAACTAAAAAGGGTCAAATATAAAGATACTCTCATCAAGACATGTTATTGCCATTTTATCTTTTCTCCTCTCAAAGCTCAAAAGGGATTAGAAAAGACCAGTACTGGCTGGTTAAATCATCAACCAAGTCGGTGAATACTTCGTACTAATAAAATATTCGTACTAATAACATATTCGTACTAATAACATAGTTATAAAAATATAGAAAAAGACTAGTGTTTTTGACTTCCACACAGACAAAAAAAAGGAATAAAAAGTAAAAGAAGATTAACAACTAAAGAGATGATTAAAATTTGGCCCTCCTTGTCTTCTAATTCATCCAAGAAGGTCCATGTTACTTGAGTTGGAATGATTTGAAGAATCTGCAGATCTGAGGTAAGCATCATCTTCCAAAGGGGTGAAGGAGGGGCAAGGACTGTGTATCTGCATGTCCCTTATCATTTGTCGAAGTTCCGAGGCTTGTTCTTTGAGCTGAGCATTCTCTTGAACCACTTGGTCATGGCTTTCTGAAACATGGTTCAGCTTGTCTATGAGTTGGTGGTTCTCATTCCTGAGCCACACCACTTGCGACCAAAGCTCATCGAGGTGCTTCTGCTTCCTCATGCGTGACCTACGTGCGGATTCACGGTTTGATATCATCCTCCTGTGCTTTCTTTCATTGATGAGACTCAGTTGCTGCTCATCAGCCTCATCAGAGGTGGAGTTGCTGCTGATGCATGATGATTGAGGACTAAAGTCATGGATAGGGTTTTGGTTTTGGTTGTGGTTGTTGTTGTTGTAGCCATATAATAATTGGTTGGAGAATCTTGGAAATTGGAATGTGGGAATGTTGTTGTTTTGGATCATGGTGTAGTTGTTGGGAGGGTAGGGACAAGGGTTTGAAGGGAGTAAGTAATTGAGGCCTGAGACTTCCCTGGTTTGCATGGTTTTGTTTGGTTTTGCAAAGTGGAATTTCAGGGTCTTGTTGGGTGGATTGAAGAGTGAGTGATGGAGAGTTCAATTGGTTTTGAGAAGGAGGAAGGAAGAGTGGGAAGAGAGAGTGTTATATAGGGAGAGAAAAAGATGAAGTGACCCCACTTGAGAACAGTAGAGTAACAGTTTTGAAGCTTAAATGCTTATTACATTAATTAATGGGATGGAATTAGCTAGCATGCATTATATAATCTTGACTTCAAAACTAACTGCATCATCCTACAGTTCAACTCCAAAAGTTCATTCCCAAAGTCTATATTTATAATTTTTTTGTTTGGTGAAAAATTAGAGATGGCAAGTAAATTTTTACATGTAGTTAATGTTTGAATTTATTCCAATTTGTTAGAGAATATTTGATTTGATCAAATATCGATATAAATATGAATAATATTTTATTTATTAAAATGGATACGAGGATAAAGATAGATATTTATCTTGTACTTGTTGTTGTTTTAAATTTTTAAAATCTTAATTTTTTTAGATATAATTAAAATTTATATAATTTTTATTCTTTTTTAAATTTTGTGTCAAATAAAATTTAATTAATATAATTTTTTAATTTTTACTATGTTGAAATTCTTGTTTTTTATATTTTTTACAAAAAGAAAATTAATTAATTTATAAACGAACATGGGATGAGTATGAATATACTCGATATCCGATGAAAATAAATGTGTGACACAATATAAAAATAAGTATAAGATACAAGAATTACTTTTATTCTTTTATTAAAATTGAAATTTTATTTTAATAACTAATTTTAATTTTATTGTACATGTTACTGAAATTAAGTTTAAATTTCAATTTAAATTTTTTTACTAAAATCACATAAAAAAAAAAGTTGCATGAAAGTTATATATTTAGCGAGAAATTTTAAATTTATGTAATGTCAATCATGTCACAAATGGTATTTTTTTATTTGATATTATAAATTATTATAACACCAAGAAAATTTTGACATAAGATAGTGTATGTGTGGGTTTAATTGGTATGTGGCGTTTATATTATATTTGCTCTCTTTGGTTTTATCCATTGTGGGTTTGATTGAAGTTATGTATATGTATATATGTACATGACATGTTAGTATGTGACATATATGAGACATGCATGGAATGGGTGGATGACATGATGCACATAATAAGTGGCCCAAAGGGTAAGCACAAGTTGAGTTTGTGGATATAATCATTTAGTAGAAAAATATGCTACCTAAGAGAGACAAAAGCATTTCATATCATGGGGATTATAATTAAATAATTAATAATTAACTTTCTATTGGAAGACTGTTTGGTTGAAAGCAATACAGGGATTAAATAATAAATGACTTAATTAAGTGTGTTATTCCCAATCTGATTCTCTCTGTTGGATCGTTTTCTATTCATTGACGTAAGAAAGGGTTGTGGAAAAACGAGGCTGGGAAAGTTATTAGGTTCAACTGAGTGAAGGTGACTTCAATATAATGGACTAACCAACGAATCACAAACCTTAACCATACACCATGTTTGTTTTACCTATGGTTAAACTTTAAACTCCACGTACCTAATCAGAAAGGAAAAATTAAGATTCACATTATTTAATTGAAGGAAAAATACTGGCCTTTAATCAATCCACACTCTTTGATCATCATCACAGATAAAATAATAAGGATAAATTCTTAAGTTTTATAATTATATATTAAGGTCAATCATTTAAGACTTGTTGTTTTACCCTCTAAACTGTTTTAGAGGAGGCAGATTCCAGTAATTTTTATATATTGATCTTTAATAAATATAACTTCAATTGAACAAATACTAAAATCACTAATAGGCAAGAGCAAAAATGCTAAAGACAATTATATTGATATACATACCCAAGTTATATTCATAAAACAAGACCTAAAAAATTTACGGATTTGTTTAATATTAGGATAAATATAGTTGGATTCATTTATTTTAAGAAAAAAACCGCTTGTATTTTCATTTCTCAATTTCTTGTGAGATTTTAAAAAGTAAGATGTAATTTTCTCAAAATATTAAACTAAACATTAAATTACTTTTTAATTATCAATTTTGAAACATCATACGAATCATTTATATATATATATATATATATATATATATATATATATATAATAAAAACTATACTGAACTTAAAAGTAGTTCATATGAACTGAACTAAACTAAATATTAGTTCAGACGAACTGAACTGAACTATTCTTTTGTGTCATTGAACTGAACTGAACTATACTATAAAAACTTGAACTGAACTGCAATTTAAACTGCACTAAACTGTTATGATATTTTGAATTGAACAATTTTGACTCATTGATCTATCAAAATAGGACACATTTGTCAACTTTACTTTATTTTCTATTTTATTTAAATTTTTCAAAGGAAAAAAATATAAAATCAAGTCAAACAAACTCAGTGAATTTTAAGCCTAAAAATAAGTAGTTCAACATAGCTCAATTGATCCGTTAAGTTCAACAAAATTGATATAATTTTTTTTCAAATCACCTTTTTTTCTAAAATTTTGGTTATTAGACTATCGAGCTAATCTATTAAGACATAACATGTTAAACATATTTAATTTTTATTCTTTTATAAAAATAGTTCAATTTTTATAATTCAGTTCAGTTTTTATAGTTCAGTACAATTCAACTTTACAACAGTTCAGTTCAGTTCAGTTTTTTTTAAACAGTTCAGTTCAGTTTTTTTTACAAACAGTTCAGTTTTTTATAATACAGTTCCCTACCAGTTCAGTTCAGTTCAGCTTAGTTTAGTTTTTTTTGCCCATCCTTGCATTTGTAAATTCAGGACTTGCCAAATTGGTAACTGAGAGATAAAAGAAATTAAGAAAGGAATTAACAATCTGATGAGTCAAAAGGCACTTGTTATGGGACCTCAAAAACAATTATATGTGTATGGATTAAATAGAAGCCAAATGTTTGATGAGCAATCACTTTTCCTTAGTAGGGTTAGGTACTTTGTACTAATCAACGTCTATTAATTTGGCTGTGGTAATGACAAGTTCAATAGTAATCAGAGGGAATAAAATGGAACGTTATTCAGCTAATATTACTCTCTCCACGCCAAAAGTAGCAGAAATGATGAATGCATCATGCTGCATGCTATGCTGTGTTTGTTTTAGCAGCTAAAAAGTTATCTAGGTCTTGTGTTTTCGTCTTTTCTGGCAGATTCTCATGGTTATTCCACATTCCACATGTTCATTAATTGCCCTTACATATTGTGAACAAAATTACCTCATGAAATAACAATTCTTATTGAATCTCCCCACCCTCCCAAGATAATACCTATCCTCATTATATATATTTTTCCTCCAACTCTACTGGTAATTAATTAGATACTAATCTCTCTGGTTATATTGTAATTGTAGCTGATCCAAAAAAATAATCATATGGAGATTAAATACATAATTATTCACCAAATAGATCATTTTTAATGTTCATAGTGTCTAACTATTATAATAACTCATAGAGTTATTCATATTTTAGTATTATATATTTTTAATTTTAGTATTAATTATAAGTAATAAATCGAAATTTTTTTGTTCTAATTATAAGTAACACTTAAGTTTTTAAAGTTACTCAAAGCCAATTTTTTTTTTTTATATCTTTCATTTATTGTTAACTCTATTTCATACACAATTATTTATAACTAATATTAAATATGACAAATACTTAAATTAAATGATATATTTAGAGTAAAATTTGAATTTAAAAGAATTAACTAAAAGTAACTATATTAATTATTTTTCTTAATCTTGACAATTTGTCCTATAATACTTATAATTAGGATAAAAAATAGTAACTTTTTTTACTTATACATCTATTTAACAATTATTATTATAGTTAATTATCACAAGTAACATTACTAAAAATTAATTATTGATAAAGTTGATAAATATTTGTACTAATAGATAGAAAAAACAATAAAATTAAATTAGTGTAAAAAACTTAGTGATGAAATAAATAAATAAATATATATATATATATATATTATAGTATGAATCACATAAATTTTAACTAATTAAAACTATTGTATTAAAAAAGTTGTATTATTAGTCACTATCGTATTAAAAAGTGTGTTGTTAGCATTTTCATATGATAACTACACACATTAAAGAATATTTAACGAAGTATATATATATATACACGATTAAAATGAGGATGAGTACAACAAAACTTTTATTAATAATTTTTTAATAAATACTCAATTTCTAAAAAATGGTAGAAGTGATTGATAAGTTTTTAAAATATTTTTTTTGTTATATGGGTCTCTAAATTTTAACTCAGTTATGTAAATTAATTTTTTCGTTATTCTCAATTATTATATTAGTCTCATAACCAATTAACAGTTAATTGTCACGTTGATATGTATTCTTTGTCTTAATTAGTATGCAACAACTATAAACTAAGTACATTTAAACATGTGATAAAGTAATGTTTAATTTTTCATTTAATTTAAAAAAATGGAGTGACATTTGAATGACTTATTTCTTTTTACCATTTCTCATTATCACTAAATTTTTCCCCACTTTAATTTTACCATATGAGTTTTGTAATTTATTAAATATAATAGAAGCACTCATATTCAGTTGTGCACCCTTACTCGAGATTTTTTAGAATAATCACTCGTTTTAGATAAATCTCAAATTCAATAATTTAGGATTTAGAATCTTAATTTTATAGTTAAAAAAGACAAAAAAATTAAGGATGATTGAAATAGAAAAATTCAATTATAAAAAATCTACAAAATCTAACAATAATCTTCTATTTTAATCAAAACACACATAATCATAATATTTAAACATGATAAAGTGTCCATTATTAATTAAAAAGAATCAAAACCTTATATTATATTTTATATTAGGTAATTAGAAAAAAGAACAGTTAATTGGGAGAAAAATGTCACAAAAATATTTTAGAAACTTATTAATTATTTCTATCATCTTTCAAAAATTAAATTAGATGTGTACTCAAAAATTTGTAACACTCTTTATTATTAATTGAATTTTATTAAAAAAATATATATAAATTGTGATGATTTCTACTAC